TTCTTTATTGTCCCGCTGATGCCCAGGCCTCTGCTCAGACATCTCTACCTGACATTCAGTGCAGACCCCATTCAGGCTTCTCTGTCAGAATCCATTTGAGAGCAGAGCCGTGGTGGGGACTCCCTTACCCTTCTCCCTGTTTGGGGCCTCAGGACCAAGGAGAGGAGACCCAGGGGTCCTCTCTCCTCTTCAGCCAGGCCCTCCCCAGGTCTTCCTCAGCTCCGGGTACCTGGGAAGGGCCCCAGACACTAAGAGGCGCCCTCATCCCAATGAGGTTCAGAATGTGAAGTCTTTTCAAAAACCACACTGATGCACCCTGTGTCCAGCCAGAGACACACAGACAAGGAGGATGTGGTACACACACGCACACACACCCACATACCCCGACGCAGACCATAGAATATTATGCAGCCATAATTGAGGATGAGGTCTTGTTATTTTGACAATGGGTGGAACTACAGGGTGGTATGTCTGCTAAATGAAGGAACCCAGACTGAGAAAGACAAATACCATACAATTTCACTCATATGTGGAATTTAAACAACAAAACAAATGGATAAAGAAACACACAAAAAGCAGAACCATATCTGTAAATATAGGGAACCCACTGATGGTTGCCAGAGGCAAGGCGGTGGGGGATGGGCACAATGGGAGAAGGGGAACAGGAGACACAACTCCAGTTCTGGAATGAAGAGTGATAGGAATGAAAGGCACAGCACAGGGAATCACTGTCACATCATGTGTGGTGACAGATGGCAGCTACACTGTGCTGAGTATAGCATGATGTACACAGAAGTGATCAGTGTGTTTTATACTTGAAGCTAGCATAACCTTGTGTTCACTATATTCAAATAATAAATTTAAAAAAATTAATTAGAAAGAATGAACTATAAAACATATCAATTTTTATGTATGGGTCATGCATGTTTGAGTTATCCTACATTCTTTGAAAAACTTCTCCTAATTTCACAACTTCTAAGTACTCTATATTTTGTGAAGTAAAAGAGCTTAACAATTAAAAACCAGCAGTTAATGAACAGGGAAAAGCCATAGTGAAATAACAAGAATACATGAAAAGATTGGAAACTCTAGATGAAATGGACAAATTCATAGAAACAGACAACCAATGAAGACTAATCATGAAGAAACAGCCAACCTGACAAGACCCATAAGTAGTAAGAAGATCGAATCAGTAATCAAATCACAGAGATGTACTGGATCAGGTGGCTTCACTGGTGAATTCTACCAAACATTGGAGGAAGACTCAACACCAGTCCTTCTCAAAGTCTTCCAACAATGAAAAGGAGAGAACTCTTCCTGACTCATCCATGGTGCCAGCAGGTCCAACATCCTAAAGCAGGCAGAGGCACTACAAGGAAAGGAAAGCACCTGACTGGCCTGTCACCTGGGCTCCACAGCATGGTACATGAGTCCCAAGCCCTTACAGACATCCATCATGAATCCTGCCCTTAATGACCCTCACCCCAGACTCTGATACTTAACAGATACCACAGATGAGTGTACATTTCATTTTAATGCTGTTTGAAAAATTCTAACAAATGAGGGAATGGGGTTTTAGGAGGGGTGGTGACGCAGAGGGGGGAAGTCATGGGGTAGTGTGCGGGTGCAGGTGGGAGTAGTGTACCCCACCCTCATGCTGCTGTCATCTCCTGAACAGTGTCACATTCCAGAAGGGATGTGACAAGCCCTCTCCTGTGGCCGTGCACCTGCTGAGAAAAGATGGCAGGTATAATAAGTCATGGAGAGGCCATGTGGGGTCGGCAGAAACTCAGACACCTATACATGCGAGTGTTTGTGTGGGTTTGGGGTCAGAGGGTAGACTGGGGATGCATAAAGACAAATAATTGGAAGAGAGAGGAGAGGGACCCCACACAGAAATAAACAAATATCCCAACATGGAATCAAGGTCGGGGGCATAAAGTTGTCATGCAGCCATCATGCACTGGGCACACACTTCATGCACTATATGGTTCAGGACACATACACTAAGGAACAAGGAGACTGAAGGGTTGGAGAAGCCGTTTCCTGAGATCCAGACTCGCTGTAGGAGATGTGCATCTCATTGGGCAGCTCACTGCTACTGACCTCAAAGTGACCCTGCACATCAGTGAGGACCTTGGCATCATTTTCATCTGGCACAAATGTGATGGGTATGTCCTTGGGGCTGAGCTGGCCTTTTCGGGGCACCTAGAAGGAGGCAGAGGTTAGCCCTGGGAAGAGCCCATGGTAGGAAGACACCCAAAAGGAGGGATGAGGATGTAAGGTGAGAAGACATAGAAAATCGGGGTGGGAGGGGCCCTAGGATGCTCCATGGGTGTGGAGCTGAACCCATGCATGTAGGTGTGGGAAGCCTCGGGCACGTGGTAGTTGGCGACAATGTTCACCTGCTCAGTGTCCATGCCTCGGCGAAATAGGTTGGTAGGTGCAAGAATTCCTTGTTGAAGATCTTTAAATGGCTGATACCAAGAAAGTCCTTATGAGAAAGGAAATTAGAAAAATGTTGACAGTACCTTCTCTCAACAGTCTGGTTTCCTCCCAAGGACAGAAAACATCCTTCATCTCTGACTCATCACTCCTCCTGGGGCTTCCCTCAGTGGATAAGGGCTGGGGAGTTCTCCACCAGGAGCTGGGCCACCACAATGCAAAGCAGCAGCCCAGACTTCACAGAGGTCTCTGCCTGTGTGTGGCGAGAAGGGGGATGTGGGTCCATGTGTGTAGGGGAGAGAGAATATGCACTAGAGTGGGAGGGTTCAGTAAGTACACTCCTCTCCCTGAATCCCTTTAAGCCTCTCTTATTCCCTGATACATGCTTCCTTTTCTGTTCTCCATATAACTTTCTCTTTCATCCTTTCTTTTGGTTCTGATTTTCTTGAGCAGATTGGCCTCTGAGAAGATACAGTACCGAAATTTGGCTGGCACATTAGGAGGCAGAAATGAGGTACTCCATGAAAAAGCACCAAATATTGGTAGTAGGGTCTGAAAGTCCACAACCAATATACCTGCCTATGAAGCAAATCTAAGACCTACCCTAATTCTGGGAAGTAGTTTTACTTGATCCATAGTTTGCACAGTTGATAAGCTGACAGAATTCTTCTCCTCAGGGAGTGATACAAGAAGAAATATATTCAAGAACCCTAACAGGGCCAATGTAGATTGGGATTTTCAAAAATTAAAAGCCCTTCATGGTTTTTATATTTTAGGTGGCTTTGTTTTTTGGGATTTACATTTACTGACTATCTGACCGTGAAAGCCATGGAATGGAAGAGCAACCCCCACCTCGCTTCTGCTCAGCCCCTTGCATCCATCAAACACATCACCAGTTTGGCCAAACATTTTTAGTCAATCCTCATCATTCCCAGATTCTGTATTTGCAAATACTCTTAGTTGCTAAGAATTGTTTTAACCCCACAATCAATACTCATGGACCTCTCACTCTCATTCGGGGACACGCACAGAGCAACAAACACATTTAGTCACCTGACATGCTTGTTCCCAGCTGAGGTGAAACATTTTTGTAGAACTTGGAAATGTGCTTCTCGAACTTAAAAAGTTGCAAAGACACTCTGGTGTTTTTACGGTCTTACTTTATCTACTGCAACACAAAGTATAAAGCTAGGATAATCAGAAGAAAATTGTCAAAGAGATGAAAAAGGAGACCAGTGTACAAAATGAGGAGTTTAGAAATAATCCCAACTATATGTGGATCCTGGATTGTTGACACAAGTAGGACTCTAGGAGAGAGGAGAAAGGATGGAGTTTTCAATAAAAAGTGAATTGACTACTAGCTATTCATGAAGAAAAATCCTAGATTTGAACCTTTTCTTTACACCATACACATGCAAAAACAAATCAATTAAAATCCATAAAATTTCAGAAAAGTTTACAAAAAAAACTTTGAGTCTCATTTAAGAAAGAACTTGTTATGTAGAACATAGAAGATATTTGCAATAGAGAAAAAATTTGTGTATGTTATTAGCTTAAAACTGAAAACTGCTGACCACAAATGACATCATTAAGAAAGTGATAAGACAAGGCACAAATGAGGAGAAATTCTTTGCCACACGTTAGAACCAAACACCAGTCCCCAGGATATGTAACTACTGCTCTGGTCAGTGAGCATCAGCATACGTATAGAGTAAATGCCCTAAAGCTTCCTGTTTGCCAAACTCGAGTGGCAGCCAGAAGGCACGGGAGCATTTGGAGAGCTTAGTCTGTAAGTGGTCCATGGAGATTGGTTTCCCATGGGAGAGAGCACTGGAAACCCTCAGAAAAGGGATAAATGGGAAAGCAACAAAGAAGAAATCTAAAAGATAAACAATCATATGGAAATGTGCTTTCTCTCCTTCACTGAGGGAAATGCAAATTAACACCCTAAGGACAGCATGAATGCGCCTGACAACATACCTTGTATAAGAGCCCGTCACAAAGAACCATATGTTGCATGATTCCAGTTTTATTTTTTTAAATATGATTCCAGTTTTAACAATTGTCCGAAAAAGGCAAATCTACAGGAGACAGAAGGTAGATGAGTGGTTACCTAGGGCTGGGGAGAGGTGTTGGGAGAAAAGGCAGAGTGATGCAAGGTTTCTTTTAGGGCTGATGAAAATGTTCTGAAGTTTGTTATAGTGATAGTTGCACAACTCTGTGAATATACTGGAAACAACTGAACTGTATCCTTAAATCAGTGAATGATATGTGAATAAGATCTCAGTAAAGCTGTAATAAAAAACCTGTAATGAGATAGTGCGCTGCATCCACTGGAAGCTCTAAGTTGCGCTGACTGAGAAGAGCTGTCAGGGCAGATGGAGAAGCAGGAAGCATGTGTGATCCGTCTCCTCCTGGACAGCAGGTGCGCTGGGGATCTGTCTGATGTGACTGTCGTGGATACCTGGAGTCTACTGAAGCCTTGCAGCTTGCAGGGGGAAGGCTTGGAGGATAAACTGCTATTCATTTCAGTCATTTTCAGCCTGGCCCCAGACATGAGGCTACCACCTCCCTACCCCCAGTCTGTTGTGGAGAGCCAGCGGAAGTCCCTACAGCCCTTTGAACACAGCTTGTGGAAGCGAAGGTGAGCAATTAGGATGCTGTCTTCCAAACATCAGGAATGAGTGTTCTGACTGCTGCTTGCAGCTTTTGGTCAAGAGGATGCAGTGAAAATGCAGGCCAGCGCGCTTGCAAGCCCACCGCCAATAGGACAAGCCCTTACTCCTATGGCTGAAGCACTTCAAGTGTATTTAAAACACCTGGGGGATTCACTCCCCTTCGTTTCCCCCTTTTTTCCATTTTGGGAGGCAAGCATATAAGCAGTGGAACATGCAAAAGCAACTGCAGATACGGGGACATTTAGAAAGCTACCCTTGCCCAGGGAAAGGTGCAGACTCATAAATGACCTGAGAGGTTCTTAAGTTGGCACCTTAGCTGGATTCCTGGGACAGAGACTCTGTACACAAAAAAAATGACCAAAAACCAAGAGCATAAAATAACAACCAACAAATCTCTGCAGACTCCAGGGGAGGGGAGGACCTAACTTCCAGGATTATCAATTATTACCAAGTATTATTACCAACTATTACCAAGATTGAAATGTCCAGTTTTCAGAAAAATTCACAAGCCTACAAAGAATCAGGAAAGTATAACTATTGAAGGGGGAAAAAAAAATCAATGGTAGAACCATCTTAGAAAGAAGAGAAGGCAAACCTGCTAGAGAAAGACATTAAGGTAACAGTCTTACAGATGTTCCTGCAGAATTCAGGTGATTAGGATCTCCCTATCTGGTGTCTCTTGATGAACAAGAAATGCAAATAATCAAATGGTTAGGATAGATGATGACAGACAGATAGATGATAAGTAGGGAGATAAATGATAGATAAAAGGAAAGGGTGCCACCCTTGCTTCTGTAAAACCATCAACAAAAACAATAAATAAACAACACAAGTTGGTGACAGTAGTTCTGGGAAAGCTCTGGACTATCCTGAGGAAACAGCAGAACCATCTGGAGCAGGAAAACTGAGGATGGCTGCACAGAAAAGCACAGGAAGCGTTTTTCCTGTGTCATCCATCCTTCAGTCTGGAGCAGCTCTGAGCAAGGAACATGCCCTCAGAGGGATTTCACCTGCAGGGAAAAGAGAACAGGAGGACTCCAGCCATCCTGCTCACCTGTGGAGTCTGCATCTGTGCAACCAAGGACCCCCACAGTCTCCACTAATGCTGAACCCCCTGATGAGTCCCCAGAGTCCTGCCGCTTCATCTCCTTCCCAGCACCGGAGCTCTCACTGTGGTGAGACCTGCCCCCAGGGGTCCAAGTCCCTGCTGTGCTCCACTCTCCAAGATTAGGATCCCACAGAACCTCACCATCTACAAGGGCTGGAGATGCAGCTGCACTGTGCTCCACCCCTTGTTCCACATTTGGAGGTTTGAGCAAACAATACCAGGGCCATGCAATTGTGGTTCTACTCCCCTCTCCCTGAGTCCTGATGGGGGCTTTGACCCAACATCATAGAGGCAGTCCTGTTGCTCTGTGCACACGTCATGTGTACTCAACTGGGGCCTTGGCCTGTCATCCTGGGGCCATGTTGCTGCTGCTCTGTGTCCTGCCCTCTGGGGCTTGAGTCACAGCTTTTACCCATCATCAACAGCGCCAGACTGCTAATGCCCTGTGCCCCACCTAAGGGACCTATGCTGGGGCTTTGCTCCACCATCACTGAGGCATGCTGCTTCTGTGCAGTGCCCCTGGGTCCCAGCCACTGCTGTCCCCTGTCATCCCCGGGGCCCCTTCCACAGCTTGAGTCACTACTGTAAGCCACAGAGAATCCGGTTCTGTGAGTGATCTGCACAGGCCCAGACCTCAGGCACTGGTGCTGTTGCCACAGAAATTGCTCCTGTGTCCAGGCCCCAAGTGCTCAGTTAGGTCTATGCACCTCTAAGACTTAGACCCCAGCTCCACTGCCAACGTGAGTTCCAGCACACCAGACCTGCTACTAAGAGGAATCCTCTTGACCATAAATTCTCCCCACAAGCAAGAAGAAGAGGACCCCAGCAGCCTTTGCTACTGAGGACTCCCAGCAGCCCCAGCCTCCACTGCCATCATAGACAGGTGACAACCTGGCAACAAAGGCGACCTCAGGGTCTTTGCAGATCTTGACCTCAGCTGAGGAGGTGCACAGAGACAAAACCATTGCTCCTTTCCCCGAAAAGGAAATGCGGCACCCACCCAGACAATGTTCTTGTACCACCTTCACTAAAAGTCTTTCCTCACATTCCTTTCAGAGGGGAGTCTGAATAGTCTGGGAGAGGTGACTAACCCTGCAATGCATAGACATCAACACGAATACAGGAAACACTAAGCACCAAGCAGGTATGACACTCCCAAAGGAACACAATCATTTTCTGGCAATGACCACAAGGAAATGGAGATCTGTGTTTCCTGAAAAGGAATTCAAAATGATTATTTTAATGAGGCTCAGCATGATTGAAGAGATTAACACAGATACTTTAGAGGCCATAAGAATGGGGTTGATATATTTGAAGTGTTCAGAGAAAAACCTGCTAACCAAGAATATTTACCCAGCAAAGCTGTCCTTAAGAAATGAAGAAGAGATAAAGACTCCCAACAAAATCTGAGGTAGCTGGTCTCCACTAGACCTGCCTTATAAAAAATGCTAAATGGAGTTCTTCAAATGGAAATGAAAATATACCAATTAATGATGTGAAAACATATGTGCCGCTTCCTAATGATGCATGGGAGGAGAATGAGACACAAACACGTCAGTTGTAAGAGAAAGGGAGCAGGGGATGACAGCTGAAAGGACTGTGGCCCAGAACAACTCCTCAGTCCTGTATCTATTAGATACAAGATAATAGCCACCAAAGGAGAAGAAGAAAGTTATACATTAGTCAAGGTCTTGTAGGTAAAGAAGAAGGAATGTGAGTCATAAAAGTCTTGATTTTGTGCTCTGCTGTTTATCATACTTGGCAGCTGCCTCCTGAAGCAAGCTGTCTCCGCTCTGCCATATCCTTTGATATTTCACCCTGGATTTGTGTCTCCGCACCTCCTGCCTCCCAAGCAGTGGTCGCTTTCCTACTTGTAGACTTGCGACATTTCTTTCTTCACAGCTCCCATTGATTCCTATGTGTTCAGAATGGTTTGATAACTATCTAGCTGTTTCCAGGGACCAGATGAAATTCGGGTCTCCTACTCCTCCATCATCTTAACTCCTCCCTATATTCCTGAATTTTCTGACTCTTCTCTTCAGATGCCCAGAAGACACATGTCACCTACCATCCCATCTCTGACCATGAGGTCACATTGAGGTGCTGGACCCTGGGCTTCTACCCTGGTGAGATCACCCTGACCTGGCACAGTGATGAGGAGGACCTGACCCAGGACACAGAGCTTGTGGAGACCAAGCCTGCAGGAGATGGAATCTTCCAGAAGTGGGTAGCTGTGGTTCATTCTGCACAGGAGCAGAGATACACATGCCATGTGCAGCATGAGGGGCTGCCCGAGCACATTACCTTGAGATGGGGTAAGGAGGGAAACCTGGGCACAGAGCCTCCTGTCAGGGACATTAGGAGCTATTTTGGAGATCTTCAGTAGGGTCTGGGCTGAGACCTGGGGGTCAAGGCCCTCACCTTATCCTCTCTTCCCAGGGTCCCCTCCTCAGGCCCCCTTTCCCATTGTGGGCATCGTGGCTGGTCTGACTGTTTTTGTGGTCACTGGTACTGTGCTGGTTGGAGCTGTCATGGGGAGGAAGGAGAGCTCAGGTAGGAAAGGAAGGTGTTCTGAGTTTTCTTGTCCTTCTGCAGTGTCTTAAGCTCAGGTGGAAGTCTGTCCTGCTTTGTTTGTGGGCAGTGCCTTCTGCACACATGTGCCCATCCACCGCGTGCTCATTGCTACATTCACTGTAGTAAAGCAGAGGTGAGAGGAAGAGACATATTCTTCACCCTGATGAACGTGGTGACGGACCAAATTCCCAACACATAGAGGCAAGGCTGCAGGAAGACAGACTGCAGGAAGATGGTTAGTCTCACCCTGCCATCTTTTTCATTCATGTCCCCGATCCTGCCGTAAGTCTGTAGTGACCGTTCTGGAAACTTCCCTGTGGTCCAGGCTATCTATTTCATCTAGAATCTTGGGCCCTGCCTCCTACATGTCATCTCATGGGATATTTTCTTTCACCAGGTGGAAAAGGAAGGAGTAATGCTCAGGCTGAAAGTACGTATGGTGGGGGTGATTCATTGGCCCTGTGCCAAATAGTCAGAGTCTGTGGGTCTGGGGAGAGGCCCATGTGTTCTGAGAAGCCCCACAAGCGAGCCTGGTGCTCAGTCGGATCTGGAGTCGGTAGGGTCAGAGAGGAGAGCAGGACAGTGGGGAGGGGCATTAAAATCACATTTACTATGTTTTTTTCCCTCGCAAAGAGAGGGAGGACGTTTGTTGTCATGAAGTGTGATGTGTGAGATTTATGGCATTGTTTCATCACAGGGTGTCATCAGGGGGAGGATTAGGGAGCGCTTCACAGCTGGGATGACGAGCATCTCTGAACACTTGCTCTCTGCAGCTGTTCCTCTGAGCAAAGCCTGGAACCTAGCCCTGCTCGAACTTGGACAGAAGGTAGTGCACACACACATGTACGCACGTGCATCTTCTGTGGACGTAACGTGTTCCTGGGGCACGGTCATGGAACAGGCTAGGCTGTGCAGCCAGGAGCACACCTGCAGTGGCCGGTCTGGCTGCGTCTCACACGGGAACCCCGGCCTCTGCTGCAGGCACAGAGATCACTGCTTGCACCGCTGACTCGGTTGGGTCGAGACACTGGCCACTGCAGCCACTCATGGGCCTGGGGGACACATTGCCACTCCCGCCCCCCTCACATGCATCATGCACAGTGTCAGCCTCTCTCTATCCCCGGGTCATGAGTCAGGTCCAGCATGTGTTCCCCTGTCTGATGGAGCCTCAGGCCGGTTCCCACTGGAAGGATGTGGGGGAAACAGGTCTTCCTCTGCTGTGCAGGAAGGCAGTCTCTTCGGAAGCCCTGACTGCGGAATTCTCAGGTCAGAAGGCCGCAGGGGTGCTGGCGGCGAGGGATGGAGAGAGAGCAACTAACTGTCATTCTCCGGGCACAGATCTGAGGCTGCAGCTCGACCTGGTCCTTATTAGGTGCTCAGGTTTAGCCGAGGGAACAAGTGGGTAATAAATGACAGCTGTCCTCTTGTTCCTCTGACACTACGTGATCAGTCCCAGCTGTCGTCCACTGCAGTTCTCACTCACAAACACGGGCAGTGGTGAGGTGGGCTGGTGGCCTGATGGCTCAGGGCAGATTTGCCCTCCTTTGTTCTTGCAAGAATGACAAGCCCTGGGTCTGCAAGACGTGAGTTCTCTGTGTGCACCAATGTGTCATGTGACTGTGTCTATTTCCCCGAGAGTGGCGATGTTCTGGGGAGAGACTCTCTAGCATCTGTCAGTGTTCACGGGACCGCTGCCCAACTTGAACAGTGCCAGGAACATGGGAACCTGAGAACTGATGCTGCGGTAGGTTAAGTATGAGGTTCTCGGTGGTGTGTGGCATCTGTGACTCCATGCTGGTCCCTCTGTCTTCTTTCTCAACAGGAACCTGAACAGCTGGTCGCAGACGGACGGACATGATAGACACGCTTCCGTTCTGCTTATCCTTTGCTCCTGGACGAGATGAGACGCAGGTTACTTGCTTGCTTTAACTCTCAATTTCTCTTTGTGGGACAGGGAGGGTTTCTTCCCCCAACTGACCAGCTCTCTGATTCCCTGTCACCACCTGGGTGTCCTCTGATTTGTTCATTTCACATCTGACCCTGTTGACCTGGGGTGAGCACAGGTGGGAGGACTCATCCTTCAAGTTGCCCTCAGCTCAGGGGCAAGTCTCAACTCTCGGGTTCCCACGTGCCTGGCACTGTTGTTCAAGTTGGCTACAAAGTTGGGGGTACTCTGGACATTCAGTAGTTTGCTAGAAGGACTCCTGGGTCTCAGGAGAACTCCATGCTGACTATTATGGTTTATTATAAGGATATGCACGAGCAGTCAGATGAAGAGGCTCGGGAGTGAGGAAGGGTGCAGGTCCCAGTGCGGAAGCCTCTGTCCCCGTGGACTCCGAATGTGCTCCCCTCAGAGCACGTGGACATGTTCACCACTTCAGAAGCTCTGTGAACCCCACTGTGGAGCACTCTCTCTGGAAGCTTCATGACATAGGCACGCTTGACTCAGTCACTGGCTGTTGGGGACTGAGGTCAGCTCCCAGAACTTCTCCATAGAGGTCGGGGAGGGAGGCTGATGGCTCCAACTATTTAGTCATGGCTTGGTCCTCCTGGTCACCAGCCCCAACCTGAACTGTCTATGACCCTCAGGCAAGTCATCTCATTAGAGTACCAGTGACAGTCTTATCACGCAGGAGATCCCAAGGGCTGGGGAGCTGGGTGCGAGGAACCAGGGACAAAGACCACATATTTTACTTATCCCGCAGCCATGCTGTGGTCTTTGAGCACAGATCCCTTGCAGCAGTGGCACCGGAACTGCGGAGATGCAGGCCCAGTACTTGTGTCCCATCCAGTCATCATCCTGCTGGAGGATGGTGTCTCCCAGGGCCACTCAGGTCTGCTGGGTCCATTCAGTGTTGCCAAGTTCCAGAAGCAGGAATGTTCTCACAGCACGCGGCTTTCTCTCTCAGAGTGTGGGATGACGGAGCTAAGAGACGGTGTCATCTCTTGCTCACACTTCTTCTGAGGCACTAATGTACTATGGATTTCCCTCATGACATAGTGAATGTATCCCCTCCTTTACCCTCAGTTACTATTTCTACTTCTCTGCATTTATACCTCACTTTCTGCCATTGGAAGGGACATTATGTGTGGCTGCTATGCTGGTCTAGACTGCGGGCAGCAACACAAGTCTGACAAGCCTCCCCACCCCTGTCCACTCTTGGTCATAGAGGGGAGGGAAACACAGGGACAGAACTGGTGGGTAGGGGACAACCAGGGGATGTAGCTGTGCTCGACGTCAGCCACAACTTTGCCAGATGGGGTGAAGGCACAGCCTCCCCTTCAGGCCCTCTGGAATGCCCACATCAGGGTTTCACAAAGTACTTACAGTGTCTTAGGATCCTTCTCATTTCTGGCACTCACACTTGCATCCCTGTCCTGAGACTCTGCATCGGGTAGGGTGAGAGAATGTTGAGGTGAACCACAGTCATACTGAGGTGCTCTCCCTTGGGAAGGACTGTAGAGTCACGTTGGCACCTGTCCCCTCTCCCTCCTCCTCAGATCCCCCAGGAAAAAGTGTGTGGTGGGGATTGTCCTGTAGCCCCACTCATGGTGGGTGGGAGTGCACACTTGTGAAGGGTTGTAAACCAGCACTTCATGCCTCCATGGCCCCAACACCCCTTTTCCACAATGTTTCTGTTGCCTGTTCCCATTCTCCATGAAGCTGTTACTCTGTCAGCATGTCTGTGTGCCCATTGTGGGATGTTATGATTTGTTGTGTGAGGAAATGTGACCGAGCATTCTTCGTTGGTTCAGTGCTTTGTTTCCATATGTGCACCAAGAGCCATGTATGAGAATGTCTCAGCAGTACTGTGTATGATGGCCCCAATGCGAAACAGGATAGATGTGTATGACAGGAAAAATGCATACATACGTTGTAGCTTATCCATACACCGGAATACTGTGCAGCCCCGAGGAAGACTGGACCGTGGCTACACCCTACAGCGTGGGGGAATCTCACGGACATGGCGCCGAGTGAAAGAAGCCCCACACAGGAGTATGACCCTTTGTATGTGAAGTTGAAGACCGGGACTAATTTATAATGTCAGAAGTCGGAGAGTGGTTTCCTTTTGTGGTAACGTATTGACTGGGAATCTCTAGGAAGCTCAGCGTGTTCTGCATCTTGCTCTGGGGGTATGTGTGGAGGTGTGCACGTGTAAAATCTCCTGAGCTGTCCTCGCAGGACCAGTCCTCCCTGTGCATTTTATGTTTTTAAACTTTTACTTGAAGCGTAGCTATGCTCTGTTTTCTGCTTGTTTGTTTTAATAGCACTCTGACCATTTGCATCTACTGCTGAATGAGCAAAGTCCAATCCAGAATATGCATTCCTGTCAAGGCCCTTTTGTCACCCTTTGGTGTTACCATTATGGTTCTGACTTGTCAGCTACATTCAAGGCTTTCCTACTGGGTGGTTGGCCTCCTAGCTGTCTGTGGTGTTTGGTTGGCAACCAGGACAGTTCTGTTTGGGCTACAGAGGATGCAAGTGGACTATAGAATTTCAGCCTTTCCCTGCATTGCCACAGCCCCCTCTGTCCCCTTATTTCCTTGACCTAGGTGGCTACCCCCAAGAGAGGACACCAGGAAACACACTCATGCGTTCCAATCCACTTCCAAACTCAGAAGGTGGTTCTTGTGATGGGCATCAACATGTCCTCCTTTGATGCAAGCCCCAGATTCCCATAATGAGCAAGGGCCCAACTCCATGTGGCTATTCCTTTAAAAGACCATGTTTCCATTGTCCTTCTGCCTGACCATGTGGTCAGCTGTCCAAACACAGGGGCTTTTCTCATTGTTCCATTTTTTTCGCTGCTATGCATCAACATAAACATTAAAACTACCTATGACCAAAAGACAAAATAATCCTGAGTCTGATACAGCCATGGGGTTTTGGATAATGTTGGAAAAACACTCTAATGGAGAGGACAGTGCCTGCAAGAATTCCATTAAAAAGTGCTAGCAGTTAAAAAATACACACTTCTTAAAAAATAGTATGACATTATGGTGCCTGGGTGGCTCAGTGGGTTAAGCTTCTGCCTTTGGCTCAGGTCATGATCTCAGGGTCCTAGCATTGAGCCGTGCATGAGTCTCTCTGCTCAGCAGGGAGCCTACTTCCTCCTCTCTCCCTCTGCCTCTCTGCCAACTTGTGATCTCTATCTTTTAAATAAATTAATTAATTTAAAGAAACAGTATGATATAATTAATAGCACATCCTATATAGTCTTTGTGGGAGGCCACAATAAGGCTTGAGACGAGGACCAAACTGGGTCCTGACTTGTGACTCCTTTGAAGTCCAAATAACCTAACAAAAGGTTTAGGACAGGAAAAGTTGAGTAGCACTGAGAATGGGTCTGTGCTATGTGTTGTGCGCTCACCTACGTGACTTCCCACACGCTTGCTAAACAAATGAGAACAATTTGGTTGGGGTCAAAAGTTCGTTGCTGGTCCTTGCTGCCCTAGTGCTGCCCTAGTACAGCCCATAAATTATTTTCAGGTTTGCTGTATTTGTACTGGCATCAGCCATTTGGTGTCACGAGGAACTCGTGGTTGTTTAACTAGACACAGATGTAATATCACTATATATATGGCCTTAATGCTTTGAATAAACTTGGTACTGTTGGACATCCTCCTCAGTGTTCCTCCTGCCCCCATCTCTCTGTCTCTTAATTTCTTTTCACCATCCTCTTACCCTCACGTTCCTGGTCGATTTGTCATGCCGGCCATGACAAGTGGCGCCCAAACAGGGACCGTGAGCACATTTCAAGGGAGCGCGCATATACAGGCAAGTAGTTGCTGGCAGTCAGGTAAGAGGAGCCCAGGTTGACAGGCGACAGCTGGAGTAAAATAATATGCTGTAAGGAAGGAACGGTAAATTTACAAATTTGGCAGAAAGTAAGGCAAGAAATTAAAAATGAATTGAGAATTAGAGGACCATGTGCTTGCCCTGAAGGAACCATGAAAGTTTGGGAAGATATTCGAGAGGCTTTAGATCCGCAACATTCTAGCTTCTCATGATTCTAACAAGAAGAGCGCCCCCTGGACCCAACACCCCCCACTCCAGATCTTCCCACCCAGGTCTCAGGTAAACATTCGAAATGGAGTGGAGCTAGGTGGAACGTAAATCAGTATTTGAACTAAGTTAAGTTTGTTGGGTTAATTAGGGTAAACATGTCTTTTGAGTTAACAGTAGTAAATGTGAAACTTCGGAGTTTTTACTTAAAGTCAAATAAGCTCGTGTTATTTGTTAAAATCTGTTAAAATCTATGTTAAAATCTGTTGGGTTAAAATCTGTTAGCAAAGAGATGACTGAACTGATGGTTAATTGTCTGTTTCAAAGTTTTAATGGGTAATTGTTAAAGTAGCTTTCAAAGTCTTTGCTAACCTGAAACTTTAAAACAGATGGGATAAAATGCTGGAGCACTGGTTGCTGGAACTAGGTTTGTGCTTTTGAAATCTGTTGGTAAACATCTTTTGTGCTTAACTGAATTCTGTTGTAATAGCCCCGGGGCCACTGTCTGAGCTAGACCCATTCGTAAAGAATGGAAGGGGAGACTGATCACCTCCCATTAGCCAGGGATACCCAAAGGGGAGGGTATCCAACATGTTTGAATCTGAAGAGTGCCTGACTGTGTGAATGTGTCTGTGTGGCTCCACCGCTTCGGCTACGGAGTCTGAGTGGGCTGCACCCTGAGTCTCGCGGGGCGTCATATGGCATAACGGTCATCTACTCCACGGAGTAGCCTGGTCCGGGGTTTATACGGACAGACCTTAGCTAAGACGCTCCTAAGTTCCCGTGAGGGACATGAGCAGGACAGCATCTGAAAGATCCCCCTCCCTTTGTCTGTGACATCATTCACGATGGGAGGGAAACCCAGAAAATTAGATCAATTTTGGTGGATTTATTCACAAGAAGAGAAAAAAGACTAATGAAACTTTTCCTGTAAAATGTTTCTGTTCAAATGAGGCATAATATTTAAGAAAGACTAAAGCCCTTGTCATGGCAAATTTATATTGATGATCCACTCAAGTACAAAGCTTTCCTGGATTAATTAATCTGCTCTTAAAAAGAAAATGTAAATGGTTTTCTCTTTGCCTGCCCGGAGAAAACCCAGTTTCTATGTTTTTATTCTCATATAAAATAAGTTTTGTCTTAAAGGAGATTCATATAAAGAACTTTCAGAACAATACAGGTATATGATAAGTTAAATCCTGGGAACTGAAATGGGTAAAAATTTCCAGAAGTAAAAGCTGCATTCAGAGCAAACCAGAATTAGTAACATGGGACTAGATGAACTGAAGGAAGTTGTAATGTTGTGTCTCTTAGTGTTTTGTCTTATTTTAAACATTGCTGGTTCTCTGTTTGCTCTTCCAGACTAGGGATATTTTTTTTCTTAAGATCTCTGACTTACAAAAATGTAAAAATACTTATTTGCAAACAAATCAGAACATTCAATGGACATCCCCTATAATTCGCAAGGACAAGCCATTGCCGAAAGAGCTAATGGTACCCTTAAATATCTCAAGAAATTAAGAGGAAGAGATACTACAGGGAACGGTGATATACTCTTCTCATATGCATTTAATTTTAACTCTTTATGTTCTAAATTTTTTTAATGTCGATGATATAGGTCGCACAGCAGCTGAATGCTTTTGGCATCCAGGCTTTCCTCCTCTTCCTTATGAAAGGGTCCGTGGCAAAAGGACGAGACTGATACAAAGCGAAAGTTAAGCAGGGTTTTATTTCGCGCCAAGCATCGAGAATCAAACTGACCGGCCAGGGCCGTCTCTTGCAAAGAGGTGACCCCCTCCCAGCCTCACAGACTAACTTTTATAGAGTAAAGGCCATGTGGTTGAGCCTGGCCACACACAGGTGGCCAATTGAATTACAATTCGTCCTATAGTAGTTATTTGAACTAGCCTATTACTCTGGTCAGAATTGGCGCCCAAAAGGCAGGACCCACATTCTAG